GGGGTGCAAATCTATCCAGCTGATGAGTCCGAAGAAGGACAAGACGCACGTCTTAGACACCACTGCTAGTAGTCACTAGGCATACTGTAAGTGAATTTCTATTCAAACTTCGACAATATGCATATTTGTTTTGAGTGAATGTCAGCTAGAAATAAACAAATCATCAAAGTACCTGCCTATAGAATATCTTTAACATATTTGCGCTACAGTGTCCTATTGTTAACAATACATTTCTCTTTCAAAGAATTTTGATTAGTATATAAGCTACAGAACATGATAGTGTTTGGTAGCCTTCTATTTATCAAGAATGTAAAATATTGTTGTATACCTTAATAGGATTGTCCAACGGATTCACATTTATACAATCAACAAATACATGATGAGGGAAAAAAAGTAATGGTAATGTTCCTTATGATAGAAAAATAATAGGTGTAATGAATTAGATATTATTAGTATGTCTTTCTACAGCTTTCAATGTAAATTTACAAGTAAAACAGAGTGGAAAAGGAGATATATATGATAAGTGAAAAAAGAATATCGTATTACGATGCAGTCTATTATTATAGTTCCAAAATCTCCGAGGATTATATACGTATATATATATATATATATATATATATATATATATATATATAAACCTTATTCAACAGCTATATGAAGACGCCACATGTCAAGTGATCCACAATGGAAAGCTCAGTGACGCCTTTGAATTTAAGTGAAGTGAAGACAGGAGGAAGACATGGCTGTCACTCACTATCACCGATGATCTTCCTGATTGTGGTTGACTCGACTCGACTCGACTGGATTATGCAACAAACTGTGAGCAGCGAGAAGAAGGGCATACGCTAACTGGACCGATGAATAGACCCCAAAAGAAGATTTGGATTTCACCAACAATGATGATTGATGTCGAAGGTCTTGTGGCACAAACTCGAAGATGTACAGGCGAAAACCAAGAAGTTGACAGGAGAGACGAGGTGAGGCAAGGCGAAGCGAGGCAGCGAAGGAAGACGAGACTTCGAATGAATGTAGAGAAGACGAAGACACAGGTAGAGGGGATGAAGCTACCCAACGAACAACAGCACGAACAACAAGAGACACCAGTCACCATTAACGGGAGAAACCTAAAGGAAGGAAGTAGTCTCTGTCACCTACCTAGTCAAAGCAACATAGTTTCAACTACAGGTGGTGGTGTCACAGACGAGGATGTGAAAACCAGGGTCGGAAAAGCAAGACAGGCCTTCCTTCATTACTCTGAAACCAGTGTGGCGATATCTACTGCACTCAGCCTAAAGCGTGAACATGATCCGGATTTTCAACACCAATTCAGTCAAGTCAGTGCTTCTGTGTGGTGATTGAGAGACTTGGCGTGTCACGAAAGCCGTTTCCAACAAACTACAGACATTCACCAACAGCTGCCGTCTACGCTCACTCTATACTGAAGATCAGATGGCCATAATAATAATAATAATAATAAGCAACAAAGAACTCTGAGACCGAACCAACCAAGAAACCATCGCCGACCAAATATGCAGAAGAAAGTGGAGATGGATTGGATTAGGTGGGCATACACTGAGCAAACCATTCGGAGACATCACGCGTCAGGCTAGGCTATCGAGTGGAATCCTAAGGGGAGACAACCAGTTGGGCGTCCGAGGCGAGATGAGATGGAAGAGATCGTGTGAGGAAGAAATGAAAGCATGTGGGCAGTCGTGGCGCCAGGTTGAAAAGACTGCAGAGAAGAGAGTGGAATGGAGGCGTGCTACTGAAGCCCTATGTTCCACTAGTTTTATACATACATCTGTGTGCATACAGGTGGGTGGGTTCTTCGAGAAAAAAACACAGTTATCACAAACATACTCTCTTCGCGTACAGATAGTTATCATGCAGAATGGATACTCAGAGGTTAAACATGCATTTTTTTAAATGTTAAGCGAATTCCATAAATTTGACACAATGCGATTAGCACTGTGTATCTACAACCTTGATACAATCTATTCCCACATTCTATCTCTTTGCTTAATAATCGACGTTGAAATACACAATACAGACAAACTGGGATAACATCTGTGAGTTGGTCACCAGTGGATTAACCCATGTAGCTGTTTAATCATGCTTAGCACCGACTGAAGCCTATCGATCTAATTTGTCAATGTGGCCACCATGCGAAATAATAATGTGACACTGGAATGCATAATAATATTTTGGTGTTGGATGGAGAAAGTCGATTGGCAGAAAGTCTTGGACCTAATTTTCGTGTTTGTTGGCACTCATCAGCAAGGGAATTGTTGTTCCCTCAGTGATTCGAACCTGATTTACTATATGGATGATCGATTCATGCCCATTATTCAGTCATACAAGGAGTCAGTTGTGGTCGGGATAACTTAGGGGTCTCTGACTTCAGCAGTGAGAAACGCAGGTTTAAATCCCCAAGGTAACAACAGTTTTCTCATGGTTGCAGATACACTTGACTGATGAGTGCCAACAAGCATGAAAGCTAGGTATCCATGACTACCTGCCCACCGACCGATTTCCTCCATCCAACATCAAGGATAATATCGTTAAGATATTCTGAGTTCATGAAGTCTTTATATCAAGAGGAGGACAATTATGCTTTGAAGATAATATTTAAATCATTTCTTTCTCTATTATTCTTAATAGAACATGAATTATATTTTGATACGATCGCCTGCAATAACAGCGTATTTATCAGATATGTCGAGGGTAAGGTTAAAAATAAAAAGGCAACATTGTTGATCTCAGTACAATTGACGGTGACCAGGCAACTGAAATGAAGCATGGAAATGGTAAATCTACAAATGAAACATGTTTGCTATATGAAAGAAAGCTATTCCAACAATCTACACTCTCATACATTTACAAATAATGTATGATTCTTTAGGAAGAAACATTACTTTCCAGATATTATGAACCATATAGTTGATACTTGGCCATAAAAGAAACATACAGGTGAATGTAGCCTACAAAAATATCCAATTATTAATATCCATGTATTTATCATCATTTCTCAAAAAGACAGTTTCATGAAAGATCTGATACGAATCGTTCTTAAAAACAAATCATGCGAGACAGTATTCTTACCGAAATCATACTGGCTAGTATTTTTTAAGAATAAAGAAGCACCACATTTTATGCGGTGTTCTTTTTTGCCAACAAAATCTACCTGACCAGTTTATATAAGACTATATTTTACTATTTTGCCAGTTTTTGGTATCCCAATGGAATGGCATACTCTTTTCTACAATTAGAGATTAACTAAAACTCTCCTAACGTAGTTAAATACACCACCATCTAATTAATGCCACGAGTATTTCGAGTTGCCATCCAAATGCTCGATCGACGGCGCACATTTAAGCCGTATTGCACACGACCCAGGTGTTTACGAGATGGATGAGTTTAGTTGCACAACGGTGGACCTCCACGTGGTTTCCGCTCATAAGGATATGTCAATCTGCGAAGCGACCAGCGCTATGGTTTCAAAGTGAAAGAATCCAATTAGCGTGGGTAATAGCAGAGCTAATATGATGTCAATAAATACTCCAGCGCGCTTAAGTTATTTGCTCAGAGCATGTGTACCGTGACTTGCTAAGCAATGAGTATGCAATGTATGTGGAATGTGGCAGCGATGGATCATATACCTACTGTCTTCCTCGGGTAGGAAAGTTGTGCGGCGTGCTTGCCCATATCTGTGACATGGGTTACAAGTCAATAATGGGGTCCACCTGGGTGACTGCACCAGCGGTAGCTGTTAAAAGTTAAAGGTATGAAGCTCTTATCATCCCTCCTGTCTAGAGAATGGGTTTTCGGAAGCAATCACCGATTGATTCATGAACTTGGTCATTTGTCTGCTATCATCAAGCAGGCAGTAACGGTGAAATACCTGGGTGCCACCCCGCTAACCAAGGTGAGAGGGGGTCACGTATTAGTCTGGTGATGAGTGTGAGATAAGGCTGACGTTAGCGGATAGGCTAGGCCAGATACTCGATATTGTCCCAGCTAAGCAGGTACAGGCAGATGCCCAAGACTTCGGGGCCTTCTCCGGTAACAAGGGATCATAACCTGTTGTATCAACCGTCTTCCGGTAAATGCACCTAACTGGAAGCCGGTCTATTGACGGGTGATGTTGAACTGACCTGAAAACAGGTAGAGCTTTTAAAACTGCAAAAGACGTCTCATAGAACACTGTTATTACTAAGTTTAGTTATAGAATGACAGAAATAAATACAAGTGGCATCAATCGGGCGTAAAAAGTAGGCAGGAGATACAAATTAGTTCCTAGGATAAGCGATGCAAGCGTATTTATCAGTCACAGTCTACTGATTAAACCACTAGAAAAGCCGTTCATTTAATTAGGTATTTGACTTTTAACCAGCGGGCTACAAGTCAAAAACTTGTTCCGCTAAATAAGATTTGAGAAACCAGATAGCACAACTAATCTTAACACACTAGATGTGGCTGATTGCTCAGTGAACAGATATGCATATGGTTCTCCGATTGCAATGGCATATTGTTATTCGCCAACAAATCATGAGTCCAGTTTTCGGTCGACTGATAAATTCATATTTATACTAAGTGATGATTGAAAGTGAAATGAAAATTTGAACCGCTGCCAGATTCGAAACAGCGACCATCAGGTTACCGGCCTGATGGTCTACCAACTGAGCTACAAGGTCCGACTGATCACCAGATTGTTATTTCACTTGAGTCACTAAGTGTTTCGCTTGACTACTGAGTGAATTCGTGACACGTTACTATCGCTTGATCGTACGCTGGCTGCCAAGTCGGGACTTCTCATTCTAATCCAAATCTAACTGAATTCGAGAGCATCAAATTGATTATCATTTTGACTGAGATAACCATGGTTTGGCAGACTAGTATTCATACTGAGTGATGATTGAGGGTGCAATGAAAATATTTATCAGCGTGTGTATATACAAAATACAAACAGTAAAAATAAAATTTAAACAAACAAAAGTTACCTGAATCGGTGTAGCCAATAAAAACAGAAATGTATTTTCAAGTGATAAACCAGGTATTATCATAGGTGTACTAGCATAATGGATTGTTGTATGCACAACAGATTTGTTACTTCTAATGGAATGATCAAATGGTGTTTGACGGAAATGTTGTGGACAACTCTCTGGTGCATAATGTGGCCATAATATCATAAAGATCATCATTATAATCATGGTAGGCACAGCGAAGAATAAACTGAGAAAGAAAGATCTACGCCATCTAGAAGTAAAACAATTATTTACAACAAAACCATAACAAAATTAGTTTAAAAGGATGGTGCTCTCTGTGAATGAATATAAACAGTTCAGAGTATATTTAAAGCAAGTAGTAAATGCTTATTACAAACAAAACATCACAAGTTAGTGAAGACAGACTGTAAATTCATTCGCATTAAACGATGAAAATTATCATCCGTAGGATTTCCTATTTCTGTGTTGATTATATACGATAAAAACATGCCGGCCTATAACTTCTGTAACAAAGGCTTGTAGTGAAAATGTCTCTCTCCTCCTACACACCTTTGTTTCGAATAGCGGCTCATTGACCTAGGCACTCAACTTCCAATCTGTTTCATGTATTTGTACCCCTCTCCACCTAAAGAGGTTTTGGTAACCAGGTTATATCATCGACCCTCATATAATAGATGTGGCATATTGTCTACAGTAAGAACATGCATATAGCTGCTGAGTATATTCCAACTTTTAATATCACCCTTTTTCTGCCCACTTATGCTCCGCATGGTACTGTCAAGAGGAGTGAATTAAAAGACCAGCCCTAGCAACTGCTGACAGAGCCAGACGTATTTCGGTATTATCAGTTGAGAGAGTAGTTTATCATAAAATAAAGAAAAGCAATTGATTGTTTCAGCAGTTGTTAGGGTCAGCTCTAAATCCTCTCATGAAGTGTAGCAACTTCAACCGATGCACATCTGTACGAGGTTGCTTTGTCTACCTATCTGTGAAGACATTGTTGATAACATGTTAATGTTTTATCACAGACTAACATCAATTGGAAGATCATTGGACAGCTGTTTCGTCCTAGTATGAGACTCCTCAGCACTGCTAGTATTGATATAGCGTGATGATTGAAGTTGAAATGAAAATTTGAACCGCAGCCAGATCCAAACTAGCGACCTCGTAGCTCAGCTGGTAGAGCACCAAACAGGAAACCCGGTAGTCGCTGGTTCGAATCCGGCTGCGGTCCGAATTTTCATTTCAAATTCAATCATCATCCAGTATCAATGTTTAATAGTCCCATCATGGGAATGGATATATATATAACTAAACTATCTAAGCAGGCAGGTTAATATCAGAGAAGAAATATGAGGTGTCAATGACAAACCTGAGTAATGAATCAGATTCTCGTGAATTATTCTGTTCAGGTCGATATAAAACAGGTCGAAAACCTAGATCCTGAAAATGGTGAATAAAAAGAAGGAAAAGAGAACAACAAACATTTCAGTACAGATGAATATCAACCGTGTAAATAAGTGATGAAAATTCATTTGACGAAGTCCACAAATAAGTAAATGCAACGAGCATCATAAATCAGATGGCACATTTGATAAAATGGGTTTTCGAAAAAAACATACCTTGAAAAGACTGACAAAATCCCAGTTCCTATTCACTTTTAAGTCAGTAAGTAAATAAGTTCAAGATGCTCAGGTTCCGTGGTACCGACTTTAGATATTGGGAATGATATTGTTATCCGACGGTAGATACTTTACTTAAAATTAAGTGAGTGCATGCTGAACCTGTTGAGTTTCAACACTGAACTACAATTTATCCTCAGCATTACCTTTGTTTATCATAAGTAGGCTTTCATAGTCACTTTTGAAACGAAACTTTTGCGAACAAACGAATCAATAACCATACAAATGATACTAAAACATGAAAACGGTTGAAAAACTATCTTCTCTGGGATATATTATATTTTCAGTTAGTTGGATGGAGAATAATAAAACCAAGACATCTCAAGGATGAGAACAAAGAATAGAATAGTACCTGAAATAAAAGTGAACTGATTCAAGTTGTAACGATTTTCAATAACGAAGAAAGAGACTGAAAATCAACAAAATGGAACAACATACGAAGAAGATATGATGTAAAAGGAAAGGAACAAATAAAAATCAACAATATGTCAACGAACCTGGGAAACTGAGTAAAGAATACACATATGACCCATCTAGATCTATAATGACAAGCGTTCCTAAGTAATTCTTGGTAGAAGCTCAAAGACACCATTTGAATAGCTTACACTTTCCTACATGGAATGCCATTATGCGTTGGTGTTTATCTTTGGCTACTTTACTGATCGAGTTCCACTCAGATCATCATCTTATGATGAAGTGGTTGACTGGTAGAAATGCAAGAGTAATTGTTGGCGCTTTTCCCCAACCTTATCTCCTAATTTGACGTGTCATTCTACACACGTGAACCTTATTAACAGAAGAGAAAAGGTGGCCTAATATGCAGTATCCCCATCCTTTATTTGGATATCTCCCTCATACCGTAGATAAAGTAGGTTGGTGAATATTAGATAGAGCTTTTTATTCATGGTGAATCTTTTTCCCAAGTCAATTTTTCAAGCCTAATGCGATTTCTGCAATAACTACCAGTTGATACACTCAACCACTTCCCTAACTGATTGTAAACTAGATTGTGTGTATACACAACCTGCAGTATAGTGTCAAACATCCTCATATCACTACACAAGGTGCTTAGAGTATCCCGGAACTTATCAGCATATTTGTTGATTGCAGTATAACCAGTCCACTGGTGACAAAGGAAGCTGTATGCTGCTACAAAGTATTTCCTATAGAAAGTTGTGCATGATGATTCCATGAATTTAGTCTCATAGTTTGAAAATACTATTGTCAATACACAGCATTTGGGGTTTATAGTTAGTAATAACTGAAATAATACCTCATACATTCCATTTTCGTTAGCTTCGTTATTTGGATGCTTGACTGGTAAATATTATCTCATGCGTTGAAATCTCGACAAACTCAGAACTAGACAACACGAAACTGGTTACCTTCCAATAACCAATTAATGCACTTAATCTAGTTCTGCAAGAGGCTAGCCATAGCACGAATAGAACAGTAGTAATGTCTCTAACCGTAGCACTAGGTGATACAGGCTTGAATCTCTGAAGGAACATTAGTTACCTCGAGGTTGTAAATGTGCCTTGCAGACGAGTGCCAACTAGGACGAAACCTAGGCCAAGGGCTTCCTGATTACTGTTGGTGCTACTTCATCAATGATCAATGACTCAAAGTGGGTCGTCAATCTTTCTTTTTGCTGATCAACTCCAATCAAATAACATTTACGAATAGGTTTGTTAACGCTTACAAACTAGATGTTATTTATACTCTTATGGAGAAACAGACCTGAGTAAAAACATGTAGGTATAACTTAAAGAGCTATCGCAGAAACTGCAAACACTGAACTAAATAATTAGTTAAAACGTTGAATTTTTTCACAGAGATTTTTAAACAGAAAATAAAATGTAACGAATTCATTTTAACTCCAGAGTTGTAATGAATTATTCAAATAATCTGAATAGGTTGAACAAGTGTTACGCATACCAAGGCAAGGTTTACCATGACCTTCAATGTTAGATGAAATCGGATTGGGTTGGAAGAAGGCTTAGGGTGATCAAAGTAAGTTGTGGCACCAATCCGTAAAATTTCTCGTGGCTAATCTGAACCGTGTACGTGAGTGCAGGATGTTTAGCCAGGGTCCTCGAGAAGATGAGGACCAGAGATTTCAGACCCCTTGGCGACATGACTTAAGATGAGTCACAATGGAGCAGATGCATATACTCCGTTATTTTATGGGAACAACATCACTGGGGTGGAGGTACATCCAGCTGATAAGTCCCAAATAGGACGAAACGCGCGTCCTGGATTCTTCTGCTAGCTACAACCAAGCAAATTATCATAAATATTCATACTGTTATAAATTTTATTATGACAAAATCAAACAATACAGCTTATGACCGATAGAAGTGGTGTAGATACAATCATATCTTCCCTTGGTCTGGATCCCTATATTATAGTTGTTGAATCTTCACCTTGTCCTTCCATTTTACGGCTCTACTTCAATCTATTTGTCTTTTACCTTCTTAACATACACATTTTGATTTGCTGATGTGAGGGTCTGGCGATTAGCAGCAATCTAAGATTCGGTTTAAGTAATATCTATTTTGAGAGAGTTGTAGGGATTTGGAAATATTTCAAGTTGTTATTCATCGTAGACTGACATCAGTTGGAGGAACAAAGGAAACCTGGGAGGACTGGACAGCTGTTTCACCCTAGTATGGGACTCCTCAGCAGTGCGCACCCACGACCCCACACCGCCAGGGATCGAACCTGCGACTTCCAGGTTCCGTGGCCATTGAGCCACTGGGTCAGAATCCAATGGTCCATATTTCCAACTTCTGTTAGCTCACGCTATAGCGCAACCGCCACTCGGTGTCATTGTTTGAGTAACAGTCCCATACTAGGACGAAACAGCTGTCCAGTGCTCCCAGGTTTCCTTTGTTCCTCCAACTGATGTCAGTCTACGTTGAATAACAACTTGTAATATCTATTTCTTTGGCAATATAGCTACTTTTCCACAGCAATAGTCTGTTAGCTGTTACTTATTAACCTTAAAACCTGAACCATATTTAATTTTATTAAAGAATGAACAAATGAATCTGGTGTAAGATTTTAGAGATTGCATTAGAACTTCTAGTTTTTTCTCGATATATAAAAAAAAATATTGAAACTCTAAATGTGCAAAATAATCTAATACATACTTCAATCTGCTTCATAAGATCACGGGGACCAATTTCATTTGGAGTATATACAATGCGTACACATTTCTTATTAATGTCTACAATAGCACTATGTACACCTTTAAGTTTAATCAGTGTTGATTCGATTGTTGTACACTGGGAAAAACTAGTTATTTCGTGAATCTAAATGAAATAATTAACACACAAAAATTCATATAAAAGTGAAAACAAGGTGATTTTAAGTACAGACAGAAAGATCAATGCAAAACCTTGTATAAAAATTCATCTACTGGTTAATGAAAACATTCAAAACATGGAAAATGATGGAGTGTATATATTTGCGTCATTATGACCATTTTCCAGTCATTTCAACAAGAGTCACCAACTATCGATTCTTATCGTCTAAAGGACTCCAGTCAGGTAGTCTACACCTTTCTAAACACTTCAGACCAAACATCAGAGACTTTATAGACTGGTGCCACGTCATAGTCTGGTCACCCTGAACCTTTTTCCGACCCAATCCTACTTTAGCTGACATTGCACATCCAAGTAGATGGTAGATTAGTATGATCAACATTTTTCCAATTCCCTTTATTGGCTAAAGGTCCACAACCTCACCGAACGACTTGTCTATTTTGAGTAGTACCTTTCTCTTAATCTCGAAATTGCGCGCAGGATGATTCTACTATACGCGAGCAACAAGATGAAGATACCCGAATGATTGTAAATCCAATGAAATAACCAATGCATTTTAAGTACAAATTAATAACCTTTAGACAAATAGAGATTATTATTTGACTATCTGAGATAGCGGTAGTTTGGCAGCTAGTATTTATACTGAGTGATGATTGAATGTAAAATGAAAATTTGGGCAGCGGCCGGATTCGGACCAGTGACCACCGGGTTTCCGACCCAATACTCTACCAAATGAGCCACGACGTCCGACTCCTGACCACTACCACCCAGTATAAATACTCCAGTTTAGTGATAGGGTGGGAAGAGGTGGAATATGTCGACCACTTCTTTTACTTGGGGAGTTGCATCAGCCCAAATGGGTTGGTTACCGACGAAATATCGACTCAGGTAAAGAAGGTCGCTTTGACACTTGCCAACTTACGTCGTCTATGACGCCGACTGGTGAGATCCGATTATCTATCAAAGGACGAGTATACTGCATTGCAGTCCGTTCCGTTCTATCATATGGCTGTGAGACATAGCCATTAAAAGTAGAAGACATGAAGCGATTACTGGGTTTTGATCACAGATATCTTCGTAGCATTGCTCGCGTTTGGTGGAATCCCCATGTGAGCAATTTTGACATCAGACGAAGGGTACTAGGCAAGACAGGCAAGTCAATTGATGAAGTTGTGAAACGTTAGTCGACCAAAATGGCTTGGACTTGCACTGTGCATCCTGAGCCACTGCTTATGCTGGCATACCATGCTAGGGGGAGTTGGGTTAAGTTGGAAGAGGGTTCAGGGTTGTCAGACCAAAACCTGGCACCAGTCCATGACGTCTGTGACTGTTGGTCTGAGCAGTTAGGAGATGCAAACTACTTGGCTGGGGTTCCCAAGACGAGAGGAAACAGTGGTTGAGGACTCTTGGTGAAATGACTGAAAAAAAACCACAACATCGAAGATGTATTTACTTCTTGACATTTGAAGCTTGAATATTTGCGTTAACCGTTATCTTCACATTATTCATTCTCTCAGACAATTTCGTGATGATTTCGTATTTGTTATTCTCTCGTTTGAGTATTGTAAGGTAATGAATAATCACCAATATCATAACATCTAATTGCATTATATATAAGTAACTGAGACATCGACTCACATTGTCTACTCTTTTCTACTCTCCATATATATAGATTGCCTGAATTATCACACTGGCGTGCCCCCCTAATCTCTGAATTCCGAGGAAACACTGCTTAAGGTTTGATGGGAAATAATCAGTTGATAAATAAAAAAACACCATTAGGATAACATAAAATATTTCTGAGTATTAAAAAATTGAATATAAATGACATGACTCTTGCATAGTTATGCATGTGAATATGACAGAATTTATGTACAGATTACAATTTATATGTTGATATGTATAACAGGGATTATAGAGTAAGCGTTAAATAAGGTGAACATACATCATTATGTGTCAGTATACTAACCGTGAAATGAATAGTTCCTCGATTTTGACGTGTATGTACACGATTATGTTGTTCCAATAATTCTGCAGAGAAACCTAATCCTTCAATTCGACTAATCAACTGTTTCACATTTAGTAAAGATGGATTATAAATAATTTCTGCTTTCATAGCGATTAGTGCAACAAGGACTGAATGAACACCTTAAAACAAATGAAATATAAAAATGAATACAAAAAAAAAAAATTAATTCTTACTATAATGAAACAAAAAAAATTGTGAAAACACAACAATCAGACAGAAAAATAGACAGACAAAACCAACGTAGAATCTCGCACAAAATAGTATCCCTTCAATCTGCCACACTCCACAGTAGCATACAAAAAAACAAATAGATAGGAAAAGAGTGAGATCGAAGTATACAAAGTTGTGTGAGAGAATAAACAATCTGAACATAACGATGAGTACAAATATCCAAAGCTTCAGAAGTCAAGGAGTTAATACATCTGCGACGTTATGGTTGATTTTCAGTCATTTCACCAACAGTCTTCAATCGCTGGTTCTTTTCTTCTCGGCTACCCCCAACCAGTTAGTCTACACTTCCTTACACTGCTCTCATGGTAAACAATGAGATTTCCGTAATTGTGTGAGGGTCGATGCTACTAAGTGGTAACTTTATTCTTAAGATAATGAAATGGAGTTCAAACGTGTACAATCTAATGAACGGTAGCTCATTACTCAACAACAGGTATAAGTCAGACAAAAATAAACAAACAAACAGGCCTATTAGATTTATATGAGCACAATATATGAAAATCTAGCAATAAAAACCATTTAAAATCGAGCTGCATAATGTGGCGTTAAAGCAAGTTAAAAAGGAAACTATAATTATCATTTGGTGAAGTCTGCTTTCAGTAGTCTGAATGACTTAAACCAGTTTTTTTTAAATTTGTGATCTTGAGAATCTCTAGAGCATAGGATTCTGAAAAAGAAAAAACCATTTGACATGATCCAAAGATTTACATAAATGATTTTTCGATTACAGAAGTTAATGTCTTTTTTTATATAGTCATGAATGACATAGCCTCCTTCACCTACCTAGGCAGCACTGCTTCAACCACACGCGATGCAGGCACAGACGAGGACGTCAAAGCAGCCAGGATCGGAAAAACAAGACAGGCGTTCATTAGCTTGAAACCAGTGTGATCTTCTGCACTCAGCATAAAGCGTGAACAACATCCGGATTTTCAACACCAACATCAAGTCAGTGCTTCTGTATGGTGATTGAGATACGTGGCGCGTTACGAAAGGCATTTCCAACTAACTACAGACATTCATCAACAACTGCCCCCTACACTGGCTCGTTACTGAAGCTCAGATGGATTGCCAGAAAGAATAAGCAACAAGGAACTCTGGCCTGGCGACGAACTAACCAAGAACCTATCACTCAACAAATATGCACTGGAAGGAAGTGGAGGTGGATTGGGCATACACTGAGAAGGCCGAGTGGGGACATCACGCGCCAGGCCAGGTCGTCGAGTGGAACCCAGATGGGAAGCGACGAGTTGGGTGTCCGAGTTGAGGGTGACATGGAGGAGATGGTGTGAGGAAGAAATGGGAGGTTGTGGGCAGTGGTGGAGGCAGGTTGAAAAGATTGCAGAGAAGAGAGTGGAATGGAGACGTGCTACTGAAGCCCTATGTTTTATTAGGAACCCAAGGGACAAATAATAATAATGAATGACATAAGGTTGCTGATAAAAACAATCGAAAAATTGCCAAAAAAAATAAAGAATAAAATTTAGCTACCAGATCCTTTAACATAATGAGGAGTATAAAAAGTTTGTTGAGGGATTTTTTGCTAGCTGATTATTACTGAAATAAGATTCTAAAATATTCCACAGTCAGTCCGTTCATGTTCATTTTCCAACTTGTTGTTTCAATACATATATTCTGTACAGGTATGGCTCACATTTCAGGTAAAAGGTCTCTAATTGAAACTTCAACAGATCTATTTTCATTTGGGTCACTAGGAAGCATCCTGTATAAGATCTCACATATTGAGCAATTCATAGAAAACTACAGAAACCTGAACGAGACTGTTGAGTTGCATGACAATTTTCTACAATCACACATGCTATTAATTCATTAATGATCAAACTGACAAACTGACTTATTTCTGTTGATCAGTCAGTCAATATCAACAAAGGACTTGGAATTACTGCGTAAAGGTGTAAGTTGTCTCTATAGCATAAAAGAGTGAGAATAAAGCAGGCGAAGGTGTATGAGAAAATGGGCAATCAGTAAAATGAAGGTTAACAAAATCTTTAAAATATCAAAGTTGGTAATAGAATAGATTTTCATTACTGTTATCATGTTGACCCATGTTAGTTAGAGTTTCCAAACCGTTGATTTCTAACGTCTTAACGATTACTACCACTACCAGGCAGCCTACACCTACCATAACTGACTCAGACCAAAAGTCAGAAAGTTCATGAACCAGTGATACAAATCGGTCACAATATCCATAGTCTTTTACCCTCATAATCCAACTTCGGTAGATAGTGGCTCAGTATTCGCAACACATACCCGGACTAACCATTAAGTTCAGAAGTCAAAAGTAAACCTAAAATGAAGATCGACTGGAAATTACTACTTCTTTGAAATTTCCGTAAGCACTCCAATTATGAGTTGGCTCAAGCAGGTCTATCCACATCTAAGTGAATACTAAACACATGCAACTATAAATTTTTTTCTAAAGGACTTATTATTATTTGTCCCTTAGGTTCCTTGTGGAATATAGTGCTTCAGTAGCATGTCTCCATTCCACTCTCTTCTCTGCAGTCTTTCCAACCTGGCTCCATGACTGTCCACTAGCTTTCATTTTTTCCTCACACGATCTCCTCCGTGTCACCCTCAGACGCCCAACTCGTCGTTTCCCATGAGTGTTCCGCTTGACAACCTGGCGCATGATGTCCCCGAATGACCTTCTCAGTGTATGTCCAATCCGGTCCATCTTCACTTTCTTTTGTATATATGTTGGGTGATAGGTTGTTGGTTGGTTCGTTGCCAGAGTTAAAGGAGGAATTTAATAGGTACTTATCAAATCCTGAGAACGATTCGCATTCTGATACAACCGTACACTATATACAGTAGACAGTAGAAACAGTACAAGGAAAACTCAGCACTCAGTTAATTTTGCAGTCTATTATGACATAACTCATGCGTGAAAAGTAATTCCGATCGCAACGCAAAGAGACGTTACGTCAAAAAAACAAATTGATTCAGTCGTAGATGAACAGATGGGTCAGCTCTAATTTGAGAAGCTTTATTAGCTCTAAGAAGCAGATTGCTGAAAATATTTTTCAACGGACAAAAGGGCGCAGTGAGTATTCTCATTTACGACAAGATATTTATGTAAGATTTCACACAACTAAAGACTCCTATGATATTTATAAAGAGCGACATTCGGAACGAAGAATATTCTTTGTAATAAATTCTCTTCAGGTTTTACAATTATAAAATGCATTTGTACAACGTAAAAATAAGCCATGTTGTAGGCAGTTACATTTTCAAAATAGAGTGAGATCTAGGGATTGTAAGGAAATCGATTTATCCTTCTTAAATTATTCATCATTGGGATGATACATATACAGAAGAATGATATGATGGTGAACAAAAAGATAATGAATAAGATGACAGAAGTGACGCTTAGTTAGCTGAAGGCCAAGGGAGAGGTAACGCTTGGACATATTCTTTCTGAACGTAGAGTTCAGGCTTAATCAATCTTATTGCGATAGCCTCCGATATGTTGAACGGAGGCTGTAACTAATTCCACAGGAACAGTTAAATTGAAATATTCAAGATGAAGAGCTAAGATTTGGTAGGTTACCCTTTAGTCTCGGACTGAGCATTGGCTGACGACTGAATGATATACAAAGCCGACTTGCATAAAACGTCCTATTGCAAGCGATATTCTATCATAACGCCTAGCTAGAGCAGTCAGTAGGACGTTTTATGCAAGTCGGCTTTGTATATCATTCAATAGTCGGCCAATGATCAATTCGAGACTACCTAATCTTAGCTCTTCATCTTGAATATTTCAATTTAACTGTTCCTGTGGAACTAGTTACATAGGGCGTACGATTAGGCAGGTGCATCCCCAGATACGAGAGCATTTACTAGCTTGGTTCGGAAAGGGAGGAGTGAAGGTGGTGGAAAGTTCAGTCCTAGCTTATCTAATCAACACAGGGCATCGCATAGACGCTTATAAAGCTTTCAATGTCATTGATTGTGTTTCGAAAACGACACCATGTGTAGCTCACCAACGCCTGCTCAACATATCGGAGGCTATCGCAATAAGATTGATTAAGCCTGAACTCTACGTTCAGAAAGAATATGTCCAAGCGTTACCTCTCCCTTGGCCTTCAGCTAACTAAGCGTCACTTCTGTCATCTTATTCATTATCTTTTTGTTCACCATCATATCATTCTTCTGTATATGTATCATCCCAATGATGAATAATTTAAGAAGGATAAATCGATTTCCTTACAATCCCTAGATCTCACTCTATTTTGAAAATGTAACTGCCTACAACATGGCTTATTTTTACGTTGTACAAATGCATTTTATAATTGTAAAACCTGAAGAGAATTTATTACAAAGAATATTCTTCGTTCCGAATGCTGCTTTTTATAGATATTTATATGTTTATCAAAGGGAGAGTATACTGAATACTTTGCTACGTTTTTAAATTGAAAAAAAAAACGGCCACTGAAAATAGATTGCATAAGCGTGGATGCGAGGTAGTGAACAGAAAGTGTAACTCAGTATCTGGCTAAAAACATGTGTAACACATGCGTTTTCATCGCTCCCACTAAGCTAAGATAACGATTAAAGCGGCCAACGGTGATTCAACAAATACATTAATCTTTGAAGTTACTGACTGTTGATTTCAGCCCCAAACGTTTGTGTGGATGGAAAGTAAAAAGTGTTAGTAGTCAATAGATATGGATCAAGAATATGATTGCAATGCTAATGTGTTCATTTCTGATATTTCTGAGCATTTTTTTTCAACTTTTACTTGTCTGTTCTCTTCGCTCGCTTTCTTTTTATTCAACATCATTGCGTTTCTGCACATCTATTCCCTTTCAAAGTGCTATTGCAAAGTGTGAAGATGTTTGGTTCTCATCTGTTCATACTGACAACAGTAAGATAATGAGGATCATATAATATATCAACTACGATTATGTTCTGTTAGTCCCTGTTGATAGAAATCTATCGGGGAATACCATGCAACAATAAAGCTGAATAATTAGTTCGAGATTCTAAATTTTCATTGAGTATATGTTGAGGACCAGTCTATTTAATAGTGTAGTGGGCGTTGCTAATAGGAATAGATATAAGTAGTATATGTTGAGAGGGTGGCAGAAATCATAGGGAATTACCTCTGGTAACTCCACTGCAGTTGCTGCTGTATCCAACAACTATCTGGTCACCTTGGCCATCTCACTAATATCCATGGGTTGGGCTGCGTTCACTAGTCATAGCTGCTGGGGCATGGCATTCGGGACACTCGTTGAACTGTGCAGCCAGCAAATGCTCCTGAGACTCCTCATCCAACGTGGGAAGTGCTCTTCGAAGTAGTTTCGTCAACTTCACAGCCAATACCAGCGGATCTTCGTCTATTTCAAATTTCGTGCTCCGGAACTGATGCATCGCTAGCTCCCTATCCGCTAGGTTGTCGAACTCCGCTTCCAGTCATTCAACCATTCTTTGCCAAGTCTCCTTTCCCTCTCTACGTTCCACGCCGCCATACGCTGCTTTCGCTCTACCCCTCAGCAACGTGTCAAGTACCACCACCTTCGCTCCTGGATCCCGGACACCCAACGGCTCCGTGACCGACTCGAAGCCCCTGAGAAAGACCTTGATGTCTCCATCCTTGAACTCTGCAGGCCACGGAATCTTCATCATGTCCAGAAGCAGCGACACCAATTTAAAGAAACAAACGACAGGGATGCAGGAAGGAATGTTTATTGTCAACACATAGGATAGTAGTCGTTAAATATGGTACACGTAGCACTAAAACCGTCATTTCCTCTTCTGCTTCTTTCTTGATTTGCTCTTCATACACCTGCCTTGTCTCTTGCATTTCTTTTGGCGGAATCCTTACCCATTGCTGGTAATTCCCTATGATTTCTGCCACCCTCTCAACATATACTACTTATATTTATTCTTACTAGCAACGCCCCCTACAATAGGACCGATTATACACTTTACATAAATTACCTGAAAAGTGCACCTATCCTGAAAAGAATCATGAGAAATTAGCTATAGAAACGGATTAAATAAAAACTATACAACATCTAACCTTTTAACTTTAATAGATTTTGTTCAATGGTATGTACACAAGAACTACAAGTCATTCCTGTAACGCGCAAATAACACTTTTCATAAGGTGGTATATTTGAACTTTTTTCTTTAGCTTGCAAATATGATAAATGGCTATTGGAGTTGGATAAATTTGTAGGTTCTTCACAAGAGTTTTGTTGATTACCATTTACAGGCCTATTAGATGATAATGAACACTGAGTAGTGGGTTGGTTAAGTGGAATTTCAGATAAGTGATTGAGACTACTTGAAATTTGAGAATCTGTAAAATCAAAACAGAAATAGACAAGTAGACTTTGGAGTGGATAACTATTTTAAAGACATTAACATTAAACAGTTAACAAGATTATATTATTGACCATATGTAAAAGAGGATGAATTCTAAGCAAAATGTTGTACTGATTCATATTACCATACTTAGTAACACTGTAGTAAGTAAATACTATTATGCGAAGAATGGAAGAGAAGGAGTAAAGATAGTAAACTGATCACATTGACTGGTCATGTTATCTAGTCCAGAGTGCAATGTAGCAACCAAGCTAGGAGGCTCACCATCGTGATGCACTTTGATGAATATTAGTTGGTTGGAGGCAATCAGCAAGAATCGCTAGATCTAGGTTTCGTGTTTGTTGGGACTCATCAGTAAGGCGTATTTGCAACCTCTACGGAACTGATGTCCCCTGTGAAATTTTAGCACATGTCACTCAATGTTGTAGTCAGTGACGTTACCACTGAGCTATTTGGGCCAGCAAATAAATGTGCCATTTCGAAAGAGCCTCTTTTCATAGCACAGGCTCATCTATAGGGAAAACAACATCAGTTGTTCTGTTCCTATGATGATGACATTAAAACTTGACTAATCAGATAGTGATGACACACAGAAGTTGCACTGTCCGCAGATTTTTTTTCAAACTCCTCACACACCCACAAGTCATGAATACGATTTAAAGATTTCTAAGCGGTTAGGACATCCTCAGTAAATAACGAGCTTTGAAAATTGATTAATTTAAGATGTATTGCCACAATCAAACATATTAGTAGGGGAAAGGGAGAGAGAGTTATCTGACACGACCATGAAATAATATTTCAACCAGCTTAAACTAAGTCCTAACTCAAATGAGGTGTAAAACCAATGTACTCAACAAAATAACACCACCACCATCATTATTATCAATAGAAGAAGCACTACAAACCCCATTCCTTCTCAGTCAGCAAAGTAAACTTTCATCAAAGGAATTACATTATCCACTTGCACGATGATTCGGCAGTATACTCAAACTCTGTCAAATAAACGGTCTTTATTGGTACCCTGACTAACAATAGGGAGTGAAATCGTTGAGCGGGTTGAACACTTCATTCAAATGAGAAGTGGGATCAGCCCTGGTGAGTCACTGACCGACAAAATCTCATCATGGATACAAAAAGCCCGATTAGCTTTCGCCACGTTACACCATTTATGGCGCTGCCATGATATCCGATTGTCTATTAAAGGTTAAATGTAATGCGCTGTAGTTCGCCCTGTGCTACTGTAAAAGATATGGCCATTAAAAGTTGAGGACGCGAGAAGGTTACAGGTGTTTGACCATCTTTGCTTTCGTAGCATAGACCGCGTTTCGTGGTCTCATTGCGTCAGTAATGTAGAAGTTAAATACAAAGTTTTAGTCAATGGAGCAAAGTCATTTGATGACGTTGTGAACCTTATCGGTTCAGAAGGCCGGGACATGTGCTACGAATGCCTCGTCACCCACAGCCTCGTCGCATAAACGTTAGTTGAAGTAGGTTAAGGCTGCAAAAACGTTACGGGCAGCCAAACTACAAAATGGTATCAGTAATCTTTGACGGTTGGTATCAACCTCGTGGAGAAATGCAACTTCCCAGGTGGGGTCCGCATGACAACAGAATCCAATGGCTGGGGACTCTAGGTGACATAGCTCAGAATCGATCTGTGGCGCAGATGTATCCACACATTATCCCCATCTTAGGCGTCATACTGAATTTCAGTATTGTTTAAATTCTTTCTTGTCATCTCATCACGACTTTCTACCACATTTGACTGCCTTCTTCTTCATTATTTGTCTTTCATCTCACTACTTTCTCGCTCGATGTGCTGACATGAGGCATGGCAACTTGAAACACTATGCAGTAATGTCCTCTGGTTGATAGGTCTTGTCTGTCTGTCTGCTAGGTGATTTTTTCATAGTTTGAGTAACTCTTATCCTTGAATATGAAGTTTAATAGCATCTTCTTATAGTCTAAGAACAATTTCACGAAGGAAGTAAGTCACTGTATGATATTTATACGAACTATGATGAAGAGTAAAGATTGTTTCCGAAAAGAAGCCCGAACCAGATTTCCGTGAAAAATGTTGGAATTTTCTTCTTTAACAGGCTACGACTTAGACAGATATAAACTCTATCTAATGTATGATATTATTTTTCTACAATAACGTAATCGTAATGGAATCTGTTTGCTACATCCGTACATATCTTTGTCTGCCCAGAAACTGGTTTAAGGAGATCATTTAACATTATTAACAAACCCAGTAACTCACAGAAAGAGTAACTCTGAGACTAACTTCACATCAATTTACTAGATGACTTACAAATGATAACTGCAATAACTAAAATGAGTCAATACTGTCTATTATTAAGCAACACCAGTGACTTTTTATATTTTTATCAAATCAAAAATGCTCTGAACAAAACTAACTGCTACAATAAATCACTTAACATTCATTGAAGATTAGCACCAACTTGTGAAATCATGGATCACACTTCAAGCTGAGCATATGATGTGAATCCTAGCGACACTATGTGTGTGCTGAAGCCTTAGTAGATGATTGACGGTCTGAAATCATGACTCTATAACTGAAAGTTGAGTACCACACCGACGGGTCACAACTCCATAAATTAAGCCACTACTAACTGTTGTGTCAACATCATTACACATGTACATATGATAGTTTAGAAGACAAGATGCAGTATCCAATAGCAATTCTTTGAAGCATTTTCAGTTGATAATTGAATCTTTTTAGTACATTTAATTGGGCGCTTACCAAACTATAGGGTTCTTGGACAATTTATTCCGCCATAAGTGAAATATTTGCTCTATGTAATTAGAAGTTCGAGATGGGAGCACAGAAAAATCAATGAATCCACTTACCTTTGCTTTAATAATTCTTTATTCACCTATATAATAAATGTATAGAACCTTAGTAACAACTCAATATATTGCGATTATGCAGTATTCTGCCCTTTGTGTATTACTTTTTTTCGAAAACTGTTGAAGCAATGGCATCTGGCTAAAAAGAAGACTCTTTCCCTTAATATGCAATTTAAGTTTTTAACTTCAACTTGCAGAATAATTTTTTTAACACGTGCTTTCTATACTAAGTTTGGCGATAATGGATAATTTTATTTGGTCGTTTAAAGCGGAATCGATGAGGTAAAGTTCAAGCCCTAAAACCAAACAAAGCCATAGCCTACATAATGTGTGCATATATGGGTTGATGGAATCATCAGGTGAGCGATGTCGAGGTTAGACGAAGGATATCAGGCAAGTTGGTCGATGAGGTTGTTAAACTTCAGTGATTAAGGTGCCTTAGACATGTACTATATATGCTTAGCCAACGCTTACTTCGACATACAATGCTTGGAGAAGTCAAATTAGGTTGGAAGAGGACTCAGTATGATCAAACCAAGAGTTGGAACCAATGTATGAAGTCTTTGACGTGCATGAAGGTGTCAACTACCTAGTTGGGATGGATACGTATTCAATCATTGACGTCTTTTAGAACTTGAATGTTTGCATCAACATTTGTCTTCAAATTGTTTATTCTCTCATACACCTTCTTCTACTTTGATATCACTCTTTTTCTATCCACTTGTTGGTTGCATGCTACTTTGAAGTGTGGCAACTTGAATCAATACACCCGTGTGCAAGGTTCTACGTTGATTTGTCTGCTTGTCTTTCTGTCAGGCAGGTCAATCAGTCTGTCTGTCTATATATATATATATATATATATATATATATATATATATATATATATATATATATATATATATATTACCGATCATTCATTACAAAACAATCTCCACATTATAACAATCTTTCATACCTTTTTGATTAGGCAAACTATTAGCCATATTTGTTGCCTCATTTAACATAAATGTTTTAAAATCAAGTTTTTGTATTTCCAAGTGTAGTTTTACAATATCAATCTCCAACATATCATTGGCAATATGAAAAAAATTATTTTTTTCATTATTTGAAGTTGAAAAATTGAAGTTTTTCTTAACAGTAAATATAGCCTCTTCATTTGATAATATTACTCGACAATTGTGTATACGGTATAACTCTTTAATTGATTTCAGATTAAAATGAGATTCAATTTTTCTTACGCATGAATTACAGTGCATATTATACACAGAAATAGTGATTTCATAATCATATTCCTAAAAGAAAAAAATTATTCAAACAGGATGGTAATATTAAAATATCTTAGTTGTTTAAATGATTAAACTATTAAATGAAAGAGAAAGGAAATGTGACTTATTGTTTGATAACAATTATGAAAATGTGACCTATCGGTTTACGCAGTTAAATGTTAAGTAATAAAGTCAAGAGTTTAAGGCTTGCTTGACAATCCAATAAGTTTATGTACAATAACTAGAACTCATAGTCTAGTATACTAAAATTAGACTGAGTTGAGTTTGAAGATAATAATGAAGAGCTAGGACAAATAATCAATGATAAGTTGACTTTTCCCCCCTCCCTCAGGGAACAGCTTTCATTTTGTTTTCTACAGAGTATATATGAGCAGTTTTGTTACTATGTTAACCCCAATATTATGGATCGTGTCAAATGATGACAATAATAGAAATCTTCATTAATTACCGATAGCCTGATAGACTTGAATAGATTACTTATATTTTAAGTGAGACAAAGTAAGAGGATTGAAACTTAACGTCGAATGAACGGTTGACACCGTCGATGAACCACATAGCTAAAACACTGCTGATCTTACCGATTGATACAAATTATATATTATTTATTTGTCCCTTGGGTTCTTAATAAAACATAGGGCTTCAGTAGCACGTCTCCATTCCACTCTCTTCTCTGCAATCTTTTCAACCTGCCTCCACCACTGTCCACAACCTCTCATTTCTTCCTCACACCATCTCCTCCATGTCACCCTCAACTCGGACACCCAACTCGTCGCTTCCCATCTGGGTTCCACTCAACGACTTGGCCTGGCGCGTGATGTCCCCACTCGGCCTTCTCAGTGTATGCCCAATCCACCTCCACTTCCTTCCAGTGCATATTTGTTGAGTGATAGGTTCTTGATTAGTTCGTCGCCAAGCCAGAGTTCCATGTTGCTTATTCCTTCTGGCAATCTATCTGAGCTTCAGTAGCGAGCCAGTGTAGGGGGCAGTTGTTGATGAATGTCTGTAGTTAGTTGGAAACGCCTTTCGTAACGCGCCAAGTCTCTCAATCACCATACAGAAGCACTGACTTGACGTTGGTGCTGAGTGTAGAAGATATCCACACTGGTTTCAAGCTAATGAACGCCTGTCTTGCTTTTCCGATCCTGGCTGCTTTGACGTCCTCGTCTGTGCCTGTGCCGTCTGTAGTTGAAACAGTGCTTCCTAGATAGGTGAAAGAGGCTAGTTCCTTTAAGTTTCTCCAGTTGATGGTGATTGGAGCTTGTTGTTGTTGGTTGGGTATCATCATCACTTGTCTTCTCTACGTTCACTTGAATGGTGTCCCGTCTTCACTGCCTCTTCTGTCAACTTGTTACTTTTCGCCTGTAGATCTTCAAGTTTGTGTGACATTAGATACAATACATCGTTGGCGAAATCCAAATCTCCTTCTAGGATCTTTTTCCCGGTCCAGCCAGCGTATCCCCCTCTTCTCGTTCCTCACTGTTTGTTGCATGATCCAGTCGACCACAATCAGGAATATCATTGGTGATAGTAGACAGCCTTGTCTTACTTCTATCTTCACTTCAAAAGCATCACTGAGCTTCCCATTGTGAATTACTTAGCATGTGGCGTCTTCATATAATTGTTAAAATGAGATTGATAAAGTTTTGTGACACTGAAACCGTAGTGTTGAAGCAGTTGCCTGCCAAATCACTTCCCGGTCGACGTTGTCGAAGACCTTATCAAAGTCGATGAAGTTGAGGTAGAGAGTTGACTGCCATTCTATACTCTGTTGTATGATGATGCGTAGTGTAGCGTTGCAATTTGGTCGGCACATGATTTGTACTTCCTGAATCCAGCGCGTCCTTTAATTTCTCCAGGACGATGCGGCTTAATATTTTGCTTGGAATGGACAGCAGCATGATTCCGGGCCAGTTCTTGCAAAGACTTAGGTCGCCCTTCTTCGGGAGTTTGACAAGGTAGCCCTTCTTCCAGATTGATACAAATACTACGCAAATAATAGTAATGGTACACTTTCTGGTGAATGCTATTTCTATTTTAATAAGTAAACCATAAACAGAAGTTAAAATGAGTACGTTGAACAACAGTCTGCTTTGTTCCGTTTTTTTCAGCGAGGACAGTTTAAATTGGTAACATGACGTTGCAAATATTCGATTAAGAGACTTAAGTTATGTCTAGAGTTCTGAGGCATAGAAGACAATTCAGTTAATGAGATTATGAACTTGCATCAGCTAATGTGGCTGAGGCATTTGTTACATATGTTATCTCATTGCTCAAAGCTAAGTTATAAGATGGCTGAAGCAGGATTACTCTGAAATATACCTAACAGTTTATAGATAAAAAGGAGATGTCGGTGATACGGATGTGATCCTTCAAATGCTAACAACAAATGACTGGGAAACACTAGTGGCGTGGCTTAAAATAAAATATAACAATGCAACTCAATCCAGTTCGAGTTTATTTACTGATCAATGAGTCAGAATTATTATACCACGGTTTATGATACTACCCGGTAGCCTATTACTGAAGTAGGCAGAGCAGGATTTGAAACTGAAATTGAAAATTGTGCCTAAACTTACGATATAGAACAGATATATTCACTCATTGTAAACGATAAAATTATGAACACTTTGCTCTCAATGAATCTAAAGGCCACCTTAACAACTGATGAGATAACCAGTTACGTTTTTTTGTTTAGTAAAAAAACTACTTTCCTAGCCGAAATACTGAAACTTGATTGGTTATTTTAGCAGTTGCTAGGATAGAGCCTTTTAATTCACTTCACTAATCTTCATTAATTTGCCTCTTCTCAGTCATTTAATAGGTTTTCCTTTTTTTGTCAGTTTTTTCTTTGTGCCGTTCTAAACTGTGACAGATTGAATCTAAGCGTTTTTATGGCGGGCTATGAGTTTTTATATCAAATAGAAAGTTAAATGTCATTACATAAAGTTGATATGTGTGCAAATAATATTCCTACCAGTACTATTGAATGAAGTTATGCACACAAAAAATATATCTAAAGCGGGACAGTATACACATCTTACAATACTTGACTTATCACGTGAAATGTAACAAACGTTCTGGAAATGTTAGGGTCAAAAAGGAGATTTAACCACGCATAGAATCATACAAAACTCCAAAGTTATCGTGATAGTCTGCTGATATGAAGAGATAAAGAGTTATTGAAAACCACGCTTAGACAGTGATAGTTAATCAACTGACTTAGCTTTGATTCAGAATCTTGAAACTATAACTGTTCACCATTATTTGCTGATACTTGTAATCCTCTGTTGTTATACTGGATCGAATTGATCAACCTCTGTTGCCACCCGCATAAGAGCCCACGTAGCAACAGTTCGATCCAGTATGACAACAGAAGATTATAAGCACCAGCAAATAATGATAACTGATACACTTTATAAAAGTGGTGGCTATCGTGTCTTAGTGCCCTAGTTGATAACGCTTTGATGTTTGAAGCAATGGGTACAGGGTTCGAGTCTAACTGGGGACAATATCACTCACTAGGGTGCAGAAACATCCAGCTGACGAGTCGCAAATAAGACGAAACGGGCATCCTGGATTCCACTGGTAGTCACAACCAAATAACATATAACTGTTCATTTTTAAAAAGAAATCTAGAGTCATCTACAGCAAACTAAGGTATGATGATGAACCAAACTGCTAATCAGATGAAGAGAAGGTAAACAGGTCAGAATTTAAACTTCTTATCCTGAGATATTGCCAAGTCTCATGAATGACAAGAATATTACGACACTCAAATACACACATACTCGGTGTTCAAAACAGAATTAAAAATTAGAAAAGGAGGCAAAGAAAAAAATGAGTTATTTACTTACTGCTTCTGAACTATCTATTAATGGATGATTTATTTTTTGTTCAAATTGTCCAGAAGGAAGTCCTTCATCAGAATCACTTGAGGATGAATGAAACTTTATCCGTGCAGTTGGATAGTGATTAGAAGTCAAAAAGTTAGAAATCTGTTTGAGTACGTCAGTATCCATATTCAGAGACCCAGCAGGATCAACAGTAGACTTACTAACAGTCAACAGTTTTCCTCTTTGAGATGAAGCTAGAACGTGTATATCATACTTTAAGTCCAAAGAATCACGATGTATACGAAGTAATTCATCCAATTTGCTAATACTAACTTCACCATCAGTTTGTACAATCAAAAGACTTGAGGAGGATTGAATAAGTTCATTCAAATCCACATTTTTACATAATTGAATATTTGACTGACATTCAGGTAACATTGCTGAAGGCAACTCATCGCTCAAAATTAGTATATCTTTGCATGTAGATAGTGCCTCAGGTTTTAAAGTAGCTTTAAATCCCGCCTTGTTAATACAATCGATCAAATCTACAAAATGAAAGGAAATGATAACAAAATTAACAAATGTGTAATTGTCTGTTGATCCGATTTTTGAAGTAGACTTGTTTCAATGAACTGTAAAAGTATGATAGTTGAAATTTGAGAGAAAACATAATTCACGGCGACGCTTGAATCACCAAGGTCTCTTGTTTGTTGGCGCTCGTCAGCAAGGCGTATCTGCAACTTCGATGGGACTGATGTCCTGGCTGAGATTCGGACCTGCGTCACCTAGTGCTGTAGTCGACGACTTTACCATTGAGGTATTCATACCACGAATTTAATCATCATCTATCTACATTAATTGTTTTTGGCTAAAGTAAGATAAACGATACATGTTTCCTACTCGCTAAAACAACTGCTTCTATATAAATGAGCCGTAAAAATTTTATAACAAACAGGAAGAAGTTCTAAACACACATCTATACAAACTTCTCAGTCATTACAGAAACTACGCGTAAAAAGTGGCTGCCGAACCAACTTGACAAAATAAATGAATAAGAATATCAATAATTTAAAGGAGTATGGTTTACAGGAAGTTAAGTGTACTGCTGTCAAATGACTGTACTGAATATACCCCTTACATAGCGAAGTAGATCCCTGTCAGTTAAATGGTTGGAGGTTGGACCTACGTTTCGAACTTATTAGCACTCATCTGCGACCTCAAGGTAACCGGTGTCACCTATAAGATCTAAACCCGCATCACCTAGTGTTGTAGTCAGCGACGTTACTATCCATCAAAGCGCACCAAAATGATGAGCCTTCTAGCTTGGTGACCACATTGCAAAGTGATCGGTGGAATTCGGTCAGCATTCACGACTAGATAACATGAAATTTGTTGCTCTCCAGTGACTAATCAATGAAGTAGATCCTATTCAACGAATTTATCTCCTAGGTTGTATGATTCGTATTAATATCAAATGAAGAAATTCTAATTTTTGTACGGTTGTACACTTCACGAAAACAAAGTCGTTAAAAAGATTTCCTTCACGATTAAATTGAAACGACAAAATATGAAGTGGAATACAGGGTGATCACATTAAAAAGCAGCTACACCTATTATTCAACTGAAATAGTTTCCCCAATTACACCTCTACCTTAAATAAAATACGACTGTTTTGTGATTTGCTAGGTTTACATTATCATTTCCAAAATTATCTTTATGTGTATCCATGTCATGCTCAACCACTCACGTGTTAGTGATTAAAATTCAGATTTTGAACCGCTAAATATTTGCTTTCATTAAGCTTTTTTTCAGTGTGCCGTTTGACTAAACTATTCCGAAACTAAGCTTATTGTCTAAGCTAGCTCCCTTCAGGGTTCGAACCTTGATGCAGATCGCACAACAAACAGGTGTGGTTAGGACTCTAGAAAACCTTTTTATCAACGCATGTTGTGTCTTGGAGACCTGCAAATAAGATCCATCTCAAGGAACTGCGTTGAGTACCTTCTCCAACTGTCAGCTCAGGAAGTGAATTCACAGTGTGTTTATCTGAGGACCCTGTGGCATCAGCAGCCGACATTGCTAATGGTGTCGCATTACATGCTGGAATTAAAGTTGCAACAGTCAACTGGATCATCATCAACAGTCATCTGTGTGCTTCCAGGTTAGAAAGTCGAATTAGAGTGAGAAGTAAGCAGTAATACACGACTTTTACCATCAAACTTCTATACCAGGTGCGCTCCACAAATTTCGTAGTGCTAGTTGGCGACTTGAATGCATGGATCGGACGTCTTGGTGGTTAATGTGGATTGGTCGGCCGCGAGTACGTGCTCTGCAGTACGTTTTCTGCAGCCTTATGCCAGTTCACAACGCATTTCTAGCCAGCAGCAACAACCCGCACAGTCATCGCTAGCTTAGAAGACTGTTCCCTCTGAACACCCACACCCTGAACTACAAATATTTACCATAATTTCTGAAGAGGAGTATCCCCAAAACGTTTCTTGATTATCTTGTAGGTTCCATAAAAAGGCATCAGGTAGAAGGAGGACGTACAACTATCCCTCTCTATTGTTGTAAACCAGCAGTGGGGTTAAGTGTCGCTGTTCATGTTATGACAATAAATAAGCTCCTATGCCTTGACATCATGTATTTAATCTGACAACTGCAAAACATATAACTTCGGCAGTGTCACGTTATCCCGACTTCTGCATGCCACACTGTCCGAGTATCGATGCACTTCTTTAGGCCTTACCCACCCTTATGAGTCAATCACTGGACTGAACCCAAGACGAGTTATCTGCGACCCTTTAACTGTCAATATTTCTCCCCTTTCATTCAACAATAAATGATAAAGACCAACGACTTCCCATCCTTGCATTCCGTAAGATCTAAGTCATCGGCAGACAGACAAATAATATCAAGATAGGACCTGGTATTACTACGTAGTGATCCAAGTTGCAACACCTCCCTTAAGCATATAAAGCGAGAATGTACCAAGATGAAAGGTTAAGAGATCAAGAAGGCAATCAAAAGCGGCAGAAAGTCATCAAAAGAAAGTAAACAGTGAGAAAACAATGAAATTCAGTATGACGATTAAGTTGAAGATACTGTTTGGATACATATCTGCGCCACAGATTGATTCTGAGTCATACCATATAGTCTTCAACCACTGAGTCATAGATATCAACAACTGGATTACATATTCTATAAAAATGAAATAATTAACTACATACATAGAAATTGTGATAATACGTGACAAGTGATTTCACTTAACATCCAATAATTTCTCAACCATGAATCATACGGAAATGAGATAGAGAAAAATAAAAAGCTCTTGAAATGAACCATACAACAGTGCAGTAAAATGAGTTTTAAGTAATAATATATTTTTGCACGAATAAAATAGTACGCCCAATAGTGCTTATCTGGTATTCTTATTTTTATTTCTTCGGTTCATTAACTCAGTTTGATTTCGCCATTTCTTTTAAACTTTGCATCGATGGCACTCTTGAATGAAGTATGTAGTTATGATGTAGATCAGTTACCAGGTATAGTAGGGAGTTGGTCAGTGTATTAATTGGTGTTTTAGGATGGAGGATAGTTGTGGTGGATTAGCATTTGTCGGTGTCCCACGACCACCTGGATGGAGTTCAAGCGATCATGTAACCCAGTGGTTTAAGACGGTGGTAGATATGACTTAGACTTGGAACTAAGCGATATCATGCTGCAGCTTTCATGTTTCTTCTGTTATCAAAAAGTAAAACGAAAGTAATGAATGCTTGTTTGAATGAGTTATTGAGATTGCTTCGCTAACAACCCACTTCTACTTTTGAATTAATTATTTCGCTTCCTTCCTCGTATACCACTTTTACAGCCTAATGTTGCCTAAACTGTTCTTTATTGAGCATTTCTTAGTGCCATGTACCAATTTTGTGTGCAAAACAATAATAAGCGAGCAACAAGCCCTCACATAACAAGTTTAGTTCATAGCCCAGTATACAAACCTGTACTAAGTTGAGTTAAATTATTCATTTCTCAACCGGTAGGACCCGTACCACTTAATAAAAACAATAGTTAATGTTTGCCAATAAAGTTATGTACAGCTGAGAATAGCTTTCCCTAAGGGATAGTTTTTCCTCGTTACAATTTTTGACAAAAACCGCACTCATAAATGGTAAGAAAACAACTCACCAGGGGCTGCTACATTCTGTAAATGCCATATTTCTAATGATGATATGTTTATTCGAAAAGTAATTACTCCATGGAAGCCTCGCAAACGATGTTTGATTACATCTTCACAATTCGGTAATGTGAGATCTTCAACAACTAAACATGTTTCCAAGGCTTTACCACACGTATTGTCCAAATATTCGGAAAAATTCTGCGTTTCATACAGTGGTTCTGCTTCGAAACCCATCGTATTGATAGTAGTAACAAAACACTCAGTATCAATATTGGCTTCTGCATCGTAGATGATGACGGCGCGCGCAGACGTGAGTGATATCTGTTAAGCAGTAAGTTAAGTAGGACTGAATGATCAATTTTAATAACCACAAAAGGCAAAAAACAATACGACACAAAATTATTTTCGCCTAGAAGATACTGTTTAATGGTTCTCTTCGGTGATAAAATTCATGTTTTTCTCCAAATACACCACCACTGAGATCTATGATTCATTTTGGAAAGATAAATACGTTAGGCTCATGGCTTCAGGCTCACTTCAAATTCGGGAAGCAACATAGGAGATATTAATAATTTCAAGGGGGATGTGAGGAATAATAGACAAAAAGGGATATGAGATGGTATATCTCATTCTAATCCGAACCTAGATACAGGCAAATACTGTGTCATTTACCGAATAGCATTTTGGAAATGCATTATGCATTCACTATGATACAACTAAAAGGTCACAGTGTCAGTATATAAGCATGTCATCGGAAAGTGTTCAGCCAACTAACTATATGTCTTATTTACACTCACTCATACACACATTGGAATTACTCAGATAACCCATGCAATAGATAGTTTCGACTTTAAGTTTACCACTAGTGACTTATTACATAACACACATGTGTGAATATGTAACTCAGTAACCATGTGGAGGTTTGTGTGCTAAACAATAGGCTAAACCTACTGCTTGTGAGATACTGTCTAGCTGCCAAAAACTCAAAAGGTAGGGCCGTTCTCGAATACCTGACCTATAGGTTGGCAACTGACTGTCAAGGCCTATTAACCACAGTCCCACAACAACACAAGCCTACAAATTTCTGAGTCATTGGGATACGAGACATTTACAACTGAATACTGTTTATGTTGGGTTGTTGCAGTTTTGTAGCTCTGAGCTACAGGTTCACACACTCAACTCTTGACCAGCTAGTCATGAACTTGATCGCTGATTCGCTTAATGATTTTGACCCATCAGTAGTGGAATAACCTTATACACTAACTATGCAGTCATTGAATTTCAACATATTATGAACTGAGATGATATTGTGATGTGATAACCAAATACACCGATGGTTTCTTGACAAAGATACTACGACTAGTAACCAGGACGAGAGATGGCAAGAACCAGCGGACGAGTAGCGATAGATCAAAAATGCATAATATTCTTAAAGGATTTCATGGCATTCATGAGGTTATTAATACGGTGTTTTAAAATAGTCTGATTAGTATTCAATTCATTTGTCATAATAATAATGCAGTTTTGTAAACCACATTATCAACAAGAAGTTATAAAGAAAGATAATGGAGTAGTAATAACGTTCATACGTTGGGTTTAATAAATGAATAATCATATTCCCCGATATATCATTAATGATTTTGCTTTATGTATTGGATATATCTACATATTGACAAACCAGAGTGAACAAGCCCTAGTACAAGTTTCTGTCTAAAATACTGGCAGATGCTGAGATCTTACCAGTAACTTGCGTAATGAAACTATGACTACTTACCCCCATCTGCCTAGGAAGGAACCAATGGTATACATGAAGCATTTAATTCGGTAATAGAGTACGAATTGCAAATGATGTCCACTGTTCATAGTAAATATGCTGTTCAATTCCTGCAACCTTTTTTTATAGTTCATTTCACCATTTTCTGCCTTTCGATCGTCAGTATCGTGAGGATGTGGTAGTTTAAGTGGATATATTTATAAGAGCTATTTCACGCTCCCAGATTCTTCTTGATTTTGTCTCACTGATAGGATATTTCAAGTCACGGTTGTAGACAAATAACAAAAACTGCTATATTCCTGAATTTATCTGTAGGTACCAGTTCCATTGAGCAAAATACTGCAGAAGAGAGATCACTACTCAGTTGGTTTATGAACTAATAAGTCAGGGAAAACTCGACAAAAAAGTCGAAATCCACTCAGTAATCTTGTGTCTGTTTGTGCAGTAGGCGATGAACCACACATTGTGATGGCTAGTGGTACTAACTGACTGTCCAAACCTCGGAAGGTGAAGCGGAGTTCGAACCCACGACCCACTTGGTTGGAAGCCAACTCCTAAAATCAATGACTTAAAACACTCAATCTCAGGTCAGTAGTGAAACCATATGAAATAGTTTATTCAAGATGTACTAGCAACTGCAGTAATCTTGCACTTCTATGGCAAAAAGGAGAGATTAGAAAGGGCCAGCTGAAAATGTAACCTACTGATGTACCGAGTTCCACTGCAAGTGGTGAGGTTTGTAAAGAACGAAACCGATTACCGAACAAAAATCCCGAAGAATCGCCTATTTAGTAGGCATCGAAAAGATGTCTATGGGATTACTTTTTCAGGCTCTGATATAAATAAAAAATGAGACTTATCCAGTTTCTTTTTTGGCAGGTCCATGATGTTGGCAGCGAGAAACTGTCCACGGACCGAAAACTTTTGGTAACACTATCAGTCAGTTGTTGCTTCTTAAATTGTCTTCCCCTCTACCTCCTGCCATCTTTTTTAACTGACTTTTCCGTAACGTGCCAATCACTTGACGTTGTTATATCCATGTCTTGAGACTGCGCTCGAAACTAGATTTCAAGGCAGTCAATTGTATGATATAGGCAATGCATTGCTCCAGTCGATACGTTAAAATCATGTCATGGTTGTAAGCTAAAATTTTAGACAAGCAGATACATTTAGTCATCCAATTAATCTCAACCAGTGGCTTTTGAGAGCCTATACAGTACATCCTATGAGTACTAATACTTTAAATGACCAGTCTTCATGGTTATGCAGTTGTAGATATAGCATTACGTTCGAGTGGACCTATGGGCCGGTGGTTTAGGAAAATGACTTCCAACCAGTGGGTCACAGGTTTGACCCCCGCTCCACCTACCGAGATTTTGGAAGCCAGATAACATCACTAACGCTCACTTAATAGATGTGACTTATTGCCAGTATACGAATATACACACTGCCTACTGGACGGATATGCACAAGGCAGCTGACTGCATTTTGTTCGTTATCGTTCATTAACAGTTGTTCAAATGATGGTTAGCGGAATAGTGTTGTCAGAATTCATGAAGTTCGAGATACCTATCAATCCTTTCCTAGCTTTCACATGGACAACCAACGACTTTGCCCGGTGAAAATTTAGAGATACGCTTTGATGAAATATACTTCTACAACACACCAGACTTATATCCTCCGCAATCAAGTACTTAATTTTGCGGAACTGACTGAAGGCTATTTAATAGTATCACGAAGCAGACTCGATGATGCTGAAAGCTAATAAATGAAACAAGATATTCTTGAATGCAACACTTGTATGCCTCAAATATTCCCTTAAATGTGATACCAATTACTCAAAAATTAAGAGTCTATAAGGATTATCGCAACTATTACTGTCGCAACAAAATCCACTTGGAGAGGACATAATTCTTTAATCCTACCAAGTAATTTAGAAAGAAAAGGAATCCTCAAAAGATACTGCGTCTGATCATTATAAAATGACTAAGTATTCCCAACTACGGATGCCCCGCAACTACGGATTACAAAGTAAAGAAACGAATTTATGCAACCGGAAATCTTGCACGAACCGCAAAGCAGAAGCATAATAATAGCCTTGTAGCCAAAACGCAGGACAAGAAACTTTGGAAACCTCCAGGAATTAATACATATATGTAGCGCAGTACATATACTACATGTATATAGATATATATACATATTGATATATGTCAATATGTACTGACAGTTAAAGCTAAAATTGACCGGTCAAATACCCAAGGAGAAAAATATGAAAAAGCAAACTATTAATTTCCAGATATATAAGTTTTACAAACATTAAAATCCAACCTAAAGCTTACGTCAACATAAATCACATTGAATTGCTCTTTGATAACTGATTCAATCAGCCGAACACATGAGTTGCATGTCATACCACGCACTGATATGACAGCATATTGAACCAACTTCATGTTTTACGCATATAGGAAGTGAAAAAAGATGGACATCGGTTTTGAATGCTTAATCCATATGGTTCAAAAACTTCCAAGTACACCCACAACTCAAAATTGCGCCCGAATGCTAGATTACTTTTCGAGTCCAATATCCAATATCTTTTTAACTAGCTTGTGTAAACCAGCTGATTTCTTCTTGGTCTTGAGGGACGGTTTCAGATCTTTGGCCGGTTTCGATGCATTAGATCGTGCCACTCATCTGCTATAGCTGTGATTTACATAACAGGAAGTTAAGTGTTGGCTCGTTTGCCGTGGACTGTGGTGCAGTTGGCTTCTTCAGATGTCGAGTTGCCAGACAGTTGTTCGGACTGGTCGCTAGAGAGGATTAGGGATAGTGTAGATAAAACCTAGAAGGTGTTTGTGTGAGTAAAAGAAGAGAGGAGAAGTGAACTAATGGAGTAATCTACTTACACCCAAGTTAGGTGAGTAGGGGTGCAAAGATATGAAGAACTTAGGTAAGTGAGGCTAAATTATGGCAGGCAGAAAGAGTGAAAAGGGCTTAAATGGTTACAGTAGAGAGAGAACTAGTTGGGTTGGCTTGACATCCCTTCGTGTTCCAGCTATGTGTGGGTAGACCGTGAGTCTCTGCATGACTGTCTAGCCTCTTCCTGAAGCTTCCAACAGTTGGGACGGAGACCACCTCTGCTGGTAGTGCTTTCCAGTACTCACAGACTCGGAAGGAGAACTGTGAACGCACATGCGTTTTTGACCTTTGGTGGGCCATTCTGTTGGGGTTTCCTCGAGGATCTCCGTAGGGGCCACCCGGTAGAACTCCTCTGTTTGGTTGACTTGGGCTACTCATTATTTTGTAAGCCACTATTAAGTCGCCACGTATCCTTCGATAGCCTACAGAGTATAGGCCCAGGTCTTTCAGTCTATCCTCATATGGTTTTCGTTGCATTCCAACAACCCCTTTTGTGGCTCGCCTCTGGACTTTCTCCGGTAGGTTCGCGCCTCTTTTCAGCTATGGTGGAGCGAAGACATTATGGACCTCTAGGTGGGGCCGTACGTAAGTCGGAGACAACCAGTTACAAAAGTTTCGAGTTTGGCCCTATGAACATCCAATGCTAATTATGTTTGCGTCATGCAAAGTATGCAATATAGTCTTCAACCTGAAACTCAGAATGGACCAACATGCAACATCAATAATGCGAGTTGAGGAAACTCGTGTCTGAGTCCTGAGGCTCAGTTTTTTTTGCTGAGATATTCTCCTTCGGTGGCCATTGGATTTTTTCCAATTTGTCTGCCTAAAGCCTTGGAGTCAGAGGACGTCTGCTGGAAGATTTTTTCACAAATGGTAGGCTAGTTTGTTTGGGGGAACAATTGAGCTTCTGAGGGTATCAGCTGACCTTCTTTAGTCAGTTTGAGTAAGTATTAGGGGTCATTCCAAGAATACCAGGTGAGGACAGGGCGGATGGAGTGAAAGTGCTTATAAGGGGCTGGCTTTACTGGCATTGCTTTTGGAAAGGGTTTGACTCATAATGGGGAGACTAGAGTTGAGTAAAACGGGGACAGATGAGCATGCGTCCAACCGCCACCGATGTGTTTAAGTGGTAATCCGTGCATACTCACGTACGCATCAAGCATTCGTTTGAAGGAGACAGCTGAAGTGGCTATGAATAGTTTCTTTGGTGGATTAAGCCAGTGTCGCTCTCGCGGGGCTGTTGGCCGTCGACCCGCAAAGGTGTCCACTTGATCGATAGGCTAGTGGGCTGCTATTTGTTCACCCTTTCTCCTTTGGTGGCCTAAGGTGAACACGTCGGGTTTTCCAAGCCATTCTGCGTGCGATCTGGCCGTTAGTTCCATGGCTGAGATGGTCGCCCTTCTCTGTACCTCTTTTAGAGTTCTTGCGATTATATGAGAAAATTTCCGTTTGCCTGCCTCTGGAAAGCGTCTTTAGCCTCGCTTATGTCTACAGAAATGGACTAATCCTGTTTCTGAGCTAACTGAAGTGGTTTCCATTTGGAGGAAACCAAAAGCATCTCAGGATGAACTTCGTACAGTTGTCCACTCTCTCACGTTAACCAGATTTGTAGCATCTCCGATCCCGTATTTTCTTCTGTCCAGAGTATTTAGTTCGAGTCTTGTACAGACTCTGGTTGCCCTAGTTTGAAATCTGACCGATAACTCTGCGAGATGGTTAATCCAAATCACAGTGGAAGCACTTTTTAGCTTTACAGTCTGCTACTTTGAAGTACCCTTTGGTATCCATCTCAGTGTACGTGGAAGGAATTTCCAAGTCGGGTTAACGAAGCTGATGCCTGTAGCATATAAAACGTATGGCAGGGTAGTGAGTATTTGACTATTGCTGTCAGGCTTCTAAGACACTAGTGGGTTGGACAATGATCTCACTGACAGGCTGGCAGCCAAAGCACTGACAATGATCGTGATGTCCATGATTACACTGCCGACAAGCGTACTTCTGCGAAGAGTCGGGGGCAAATCCCACTGCAGGTCAAAAAATTTTAAGTTGAAAACTGTCCTCAAGATACGGCGAAGGTGATTTTCACAAGCCATTATCAAGAGAATTCTTCTCATCTCCAGAGCTGGCGGTCCTAGTTCGAAAGCTTCTGCTGACAAAACCAAGCTGATTTCTCGCAAAAAAGGTATGATGCAGTACCGACAGTGCCACTTAACTTGACACATTGGTCTCATGTCAAGCCCACTCAACGACCGAGCTACAAGCGATGCATGTGCAAAAGTAGGGGGGCTGATCTCACTCATTCATACAGGAGGTCGCTGAAGTACAAATTCATCAGTCTGCCATATGAAACCGGTGTGAGGAATGGTAAGTGATCAAAACAAGTGAGACTCCATTAAGACAGTTGTGTTCCCTGGATGATAATCTCCACACAAAGGAGAGACCAAATGAAACTCGGGGATTCATTCGCATTCCACAGCAGAGCTGGAAAATTGCAGATCCAGAACTGAGGGGCCATTTTCAATACAGCCTAAACAAAGTCTAAGTTTTGTAACCAATGCTTCAGTATAAAACGTCGCAGTTAACTTTGCTCAAGAAAAGTGCTCTGTACAAAAATAGGGTTTTTCCGGCTGAAAACATCTTCGGACTACTTGGAATCATGTTGAAGTCCATATGGAAGCAAGATCTCAATCTGGGAAATGTCAGTCAAATTCGAGTAAATGGAGAGCTTCTGCATGTGAATTTTTCCCATTGCTGATCAAATGCAGAAGGCAAAGGGAGAATTGAAATCCTATTCATCAGTGGGGGGGGGAATTGCAAAGTGATAGTGTTTCATACAGTCGGGCTCAAGGAACAAGTGTTGCCGAGGCCTCCATGGGTTGGATGGGGACCTATCTAAGCAGTCCTGTCATCCCGAACATAAACGCTCATAGCTCGCTGAATAAACAGACCCAGGTAAATGATGTAATACGCATCGAAAGCCCTGACACTACCGCTGCCTCCGAAAGGTGTCTTCTCTCGAAGATCCGTGGCGGTGGAGTACAAACAGGTGTTCGTTCCCTTTAAAAGCGACAGGTGTGCCGGCAGAATTGGTTGTTCCAACCCGTCAGTTTAGAGCACCTCAGCTATAAAGTGCATAAAAACCATCGCGGCGACCTAACGGGCGGAATGCAGGCTGAAATGAAAGGGACAATACGTTAACTAAGTTAATTTATATCGGAGCCCCGAATGTGAGCATAGACTGGTTCTGTGGAAAGTTAGGCTCCGGTGACCAGTTGCGGGAAGCTTGGGTGCACTATCGGTTAGTTGTGAGAGGCCCAAGACAGAGGAACCAAGCAGTTTGTCTGATCACAACTTGAAGGGGACCTCAACCTTCCTGGTTCCTATACAGTATAACTGGACATCATCCCAACCCACTTCCCAGCTCTTCCCATAACTTTCTAACTTTCTAATATCCCACGAAGATTACTAAAGCCCTCTCTGCACCTCTCATCCCTTGACAGATAGTATTATGCTGTGTTCATCTTTAAATTATTGATGGCAAAAGTATCTTTATCATACTATACAAGTTAAATGAAAAAACCAGTGTGCAGGTATGATCACTATGGTAATATGAAGTTACTGTTATGTACAGTATCGCGAAATAAATTAGACATCATTATTTAAGGCACACAAGACATAGGTTCAAAGAGAAAAACGCTGACGCTTCTCAGATAGTGGAGAATAATGTAAGTGAGCGCCAACACAATTGTTCAGTAGAGTAAAGCAAGATCAGTTAGAAATCAGAGATTATTCAGTTATTGTTTGAAATACCAAATGTTCTTTAACGTGGGGTGATCGGTGCAATCATAACTTTGAATCTTATCCATCCTTGACGAACTTCTAATGTCATGACGTGCGCTGACAATTAAGACTATTAGGGTCCCATATGAATGAAAAACTGTTCAGTTAGGCCTGAAGAATGAATGACAAAAGCGAGCACCTATAAAAGCAACCTGATCCAGTACCCTACACCAGCTTTTTAGGGGCCAGACTGTGGGTAAGAAGGTGAAGTATGTACGAAAGTAATAAAAACGGGACTGAAGACGAAGATAACGCGATGCAATAGGGGGACGAGGCCATTTTATGCCGGGCTTGCCTGCTAGTCTGACCCAACGTGAGTGAGATGAGTATCGTGGATGCTTGATCATCAGTCCCTGTGCAGGACTGTACGACTCATCTCGAAGCCATCTCCAAATCCGCCCGTCGCTCCTACAAACTGTCGCACATCTGGCTGATACAGCCGTACCTACCGCTGATTGTCCTGAAGGAACAAAGACGGCCTCTTAAGGACAAATAGTGGAACCTGCGGTTACTGCCACGAAACGACAAGCGTCGGATGATCGGCACTGGACATGTTACCACCAAGGTGAAGGAGCAGTACCACACAGCCAAGAATGAGTGTTTCTCCACGACTCACCAATTAAGGGTACGCTGAGAAAGTCATCTTATCCAAGTCGCAGTAGAAATCCCAAGAAGTTCTTCTATGATCTATTGGGCTGAAAGGTATCATGGTTTCCTTCCTGCCTGAAGAAAAAGAAACTGGTCGGTCATTTGAAAACTTCGAGAACAAAGCAGAGATCGCTTGTGGATATTTTCCTGAGTTCTTCATCCATGAACC